TTAGCCCCCGTGTTTTCACCGCTCCAGCACGTCCCTGTCAAATAAAAAGTTATACCTAGTAAAAAACTGCTGAAGACCTGTCATGACCTGAGATGACCTCAGGGGCACACAAAGGGGGCACAGGTGCAATTTTCCGATTCAGAGTGTCATGTTTACATATGAACCGATGTTTGAGAGGGTGTAGAACGACATTCGGCCAAAAGAGGCTCATTTCAATTTTCTCCCATTGACTTATATGGAGCAGTCGCAAAATTGACCTGACCTTAGGTCACAACTCACAGATATAAAAAATCTGAGATATCCATTTTATACATACTGTTACCCAAAGCAAGTTTCAAAGTGATCGCTCAGTCGGTGTAGCTACAGCGAGCTTTCTAACTTTTTCTGAGGTAAGGTCACTTGACGTTACATGGTGACCTGACCTTGAATGACCGGGATCTGAAATTTTAATAGCATGTGCGAAAAAGATGTCGAAACGGGTGTATCTAAAACAGCGGCGCTACGCGTCGCCGTTTTTGAGATATTCGCGAAAAACCTAGGGGGGCGTAAAAAAGCCCCCCCAGGACGGCGCGGATCAAACGGCCCCTGAGACCTCGGGATGGTGCCCCTCAGACCTTGGGATGGTGCCCCTGAGACTTCGAGATGGTGCCCCCTCAGACCCGGGGAGAGTGCTCCTTCAGACCTCGGATTTCGGAAAGTGCTCCTGAAAACTTGGAATGGTGCCCCCGGAGACCTCGGGATGGTGCCCCCAGATCTCGCGATGGTGCCGCCGGAGACCTTGGGATGGTGCCCCGGACCCTCGAGATGATGCCTTCTCCGACCTTGGGATGGTGCCTGCGGAGAACTCGGGATAGTGCCCCCTAAGAACTCGAGATGGTGTCCCCGCGGACCTCGGGATGGAAATAGATGGACAATATTAAACTAAAAACTAAAAAACTAAACTAAACTAAAAAAAACGAGGCGAGGGACAGAGATGGGCCTCCGGGAGACCCCGAAAACGGTACCCTATTCCGATAGACCTTCTGGATGGTGCCCCCTTAGGAGACCTCTGGGTTAAAGCTCCCGTCGGTGACCTCCGTGATGAATTTAAAAAAAACTCCGTGATGGGCCCCCGGGAGGCCCAAGGGGGGGGGGAGAATGGCCCCCATGCCCTCCCTCTGGATCCGCCACTGAAATGATCTGACCCAAGATCTTACCTAAAAACGACCAAAAGCCTTCCTTCATTGTCCGAAAACCGCTGACAGTTGATAGCTCAATGACACTAGAGCCGTGCATAAGGAGGCGTGAAAACACTCTCCTCATCTCGATCTATAACGAGAGGACCATGTCATGGTGTGAGAAAGGTTTTCTCAAAATATATGACACTGTATGAATGAGTAAATAATTCGCGCCCCGTTGGGCTATTGGCGGACCCTACCACCTGATGGGGTGGTGCAGCCGTTTCGTCTTCCACCTGAGATCTCGGAAAGTTACCGACCGATTTTGAAAATTCGAAGAACGTTCAATAGCCCCACCAGGGGCTATTAATATTAAACCTTGTTACCAGGTTTCGTTGACATAGGTGCAACCCATGACGTCACAAGTCAGGTCAAAGGTTGCATTTTTTTCACCGATTTAATTTAAGTCTAAGGAATGCGTTACAGTCAGTTAACACATCAAATAAAAGGCATGTTGAAAAACACGGAACAAATAGTGCATGGACGCGTTTCGATTATTAAATCTTCATCAGCATGACATATTCACAGATAAAACAAAATATAGCACACAAACATTCGAGCTCGTCACAGTGCAATCGTCTTGATTTTAAAGATTTCTTGTATATGACATATTACATATATATATATCTAAAATAAAATATATATAAAAATATATATTTTATATAAAATATATATAAAATATATATATATATATATATATATATATATATATATATATATATATATATATATATATATATATATATAAATATTGATCGGACATTGAAAAACCTTAGTAATAAAATTAGGCCGGGGTCTGAAACGTTCATTGCCGAAGTTTCGTTCTTGAGAGGCAGCGTATTCAAAAGTTATTGCGAAAAAGTCGCGTCCCACGCGGTTTGACGTCCACAGTAGTCGTAGTCGACAATAAATAATACGTGAAGCGTTTCAGTTTTTTGGAATACCCGCCCAAACCACACCACCTACAGACACGATTCAACCGGTAACCGGACAAAAAGTCAAAAGGAATAAAGTCAAAAGACAAATAGTCAAAAGACAAAAAGTCAAATGCAAAAAGTCAAACGGGATAAAAGTCAAAAAGATAAAAGTCAAAACGGATAAAAGTCAAAAGACAAAAAGTCAAAAGCAAAAAGTCAAAATGTGCAAAAGTCAAAAACGCAAAAAGTCAAATGACAAAAAGTCAAAAATGCAAAAAGTCAAAAATGAAAAAGTCAAAAAGGATAAAAGTCAAAACGGAAAAAAGTCAAAAGACAAAAAGTCAAAAGCAAAAAGTCAAAACGTGTAAAAGTCAAAAGACAAAAAGTCAAAAATGCAAAAAGTCAAAAGGATAAAAGTCAAAACGGAAAAAAGTCAAAAGACAAAAAGTCAAAACGAGTAAAAGTCAAAACGGAATAAAGTCAAAAGACAAAAAGTCAAAAGCAAAAAGTCAAAACGGGTAAAAGCCGAACGACAAAAAGTCAAAAAATGAAAAAAGTATAAAATAGAAAAGTCGAAGTCAAAGTCTGAAATAAAAAGTCAAAAGGATAAAAGTCGAAGCATCGATCTTTTCATCTTTTGAAAAAAAAAAATATATATTATACAGCGCAACGTACCCTACCCACTGAAGTTGTAAGGAACATGTGAGTACGCGAGGGATTCTGACAGGTACCGGGGTCCGCAGCAGCGGGGCAGGGACGCTGGCTGCGGTGGTGGGGCCCACGCTCACATAATACGCGTTGAGCGCTTCCGGCGTGCACGCTGGCGCAGCAGCAGTGGCACTCTTCCCATAAGCGTAGGAAAGGAACCATGGGTGCAAGGGTGCACTGCACCCATATTATTTCTCCAGTGGGTGCAGACCATGTATTCTGCAGTTGCACCCACAATAATCTGAACCAAAACCCCTTTTCTCATCAACACTACTTCCCATACAGCACGGCAAATTCAGGATATGTTGCCTACTATCCATCTTTCGAAGCATTTGCTACTGTGCAGATGGTCTTCAATACATTTGTGCTGAAGAAAAAAAAAGGAAATGGAGCATGTGATTGAACACATACCGAACCAATGACCCACTGTCCAAATTTTTAGCCCGATATCTTCGAAAATGGCTAAGTTGGCCGCTTTTACTTTTTGCGGTAGTCAATATTGACAATATTAACCCTCGCACGTGTGCAGCGTTTTCCAGTGTAGGGGAGGGGGGGGGGGTCGGTAGGACCTCCCTGCTGTTCGGCCCCTGATCGAGCTAGAGCTTCGCGGCAAAAACGAGGGTGTTGCCCGTGACGAGAGGAAGCCGATGATACCCAACTTTAAGGTCCTAGGTCATTGGTTGACCTTCCAGGTCAGGTCAATATTCCAAAAGTCGGGAAAATCGGGACCTGCCATAAATGCGTAAAGTGAAGCTGTTATCGGGTTTTTCGGGGTGCTGATCACGAATATAAAAAAGTCCATTTTTTTCAAAAGGCTCATGGCCCGAAGTATTATTTTGGAGTTGGCACGTGCGAGACGCTGGAAAATAACGCAAGCTGAGATGAATTTCTCGGCCATTTTTGAAAGATAAGTACAGTAACAGAGCAACTTGTTCAATTTAGCTTATAAATCTTGTCCCATTGCAGAATGTTAGCAAATTCATAGATTTGAGCCATTCTGTTGATTTTGCATGCAAATTTAACGTCACTCCTAGAGTAATATTGATTCCACAGCCAGCTCATCACTTGAGAAACTAGCAAGCGGCAAATCTTTAAACATTCAAGACAGAATCTGTCGGAGGCCGGAATTCTGAACGGCAAGCTCATGGAAAACATGTCAATAGCCGCGTTTACATAGGGCTAGTTGCCAGATAGTGGAATTCCACTAACGAGACATTTTTTCCACTAACGAGACATTTCAGGCACCTTCAGATAATTCTGACGACCTATCCGGCCAGAAGGACCAAACCGATTGACAAAAATAAATACATCGTGGCGGATGAACACTAAAGAGGTACTTCAGGCCTAGACATAGTATAGATGTCGCAACTCGCGGCCTTCCCGGCAGTAAGGGCGAGGTATAGATGACGCTTCTGCAGCAAGTCACTGGAACGTGCGAGTCGTGGAATGGAACGGAAGATACGGAACGGGGGCTTCTTAACGGAAGCTTATTCGTTTTATTTTCATTTAAGAATTGATTTCGTGCGCTAGGGAAAGAACATTGTCTTCTTTTTCTTACGTCTGCACCCCCCCCCCCCCGTCCCTTCCATCCTTTGGATCAGCCAGTGTGCAGCAAGAGGGTTCATCGGAGAAAAACAACAAAGAGCAATCCTCCCTGAGCCTGTCAGGTCAGAAATAACCTGAGCATAGGCGGCGGAATGGGGAGGGCACCGGGGCACCGTGCCCCCCTTTGATTTTGGCATTTTAACATTAGCCCTATGGGCGCTGCATGGAAAGAATGGGACCAAAAGTCGGCGGTGCCCCCCCCCCCTTAATTGAAGGTGCTCCGCGGCTACTGAACCTGATGACCGTTCGTTATGCCCTACTGCCCACGCTTCTTAACATTTCAGTAGTAGTCAGTTATCTGGCCAATGTTTCCGTATAGGGGTTGGCAAACGCAACTGAGCCTCGTGAGTGGGATGAGTACTGGACACAGAAGTGGACAATCTGTTGGCAAGGAGCCCGCAAGGATAATATCTCGAAACTCAGGACTACGTATACAAATACTTTAAAAGCATCTAAATCTATACTATAATCGAAAGCCGCATTGTTGTGAACTACCGGCACGTGCGTCCAATCACCATCAAGAACGGAAGTCCGACCTACAGCAAGCACGACAGTCCGATCATAGATGTATTGAAAAATAACTAGCAACTTTAAACATCGCCTTCCTCAGCCACGCTCTACACCGCATCACATAAGAAAACCGCCAATATCGATTACAAAACACACATAAAGGAATTTCGTAGGTAGAGATCAGAGGAATACTTCACCTCCTTTATCTGGCGCGTCAATAGGTATAAAGTAATCTTTGGCGTCTACGCACTAGCAACATCTATAATGCAAACAGCAGTTCAGAAACCATCCACTAAAATTGCAACAAGGCAAGGGTTGGTCAAAATAAATTATAGTCACCGTGATAAATAGAAAAACGAAATACAGAACAAGCAAGCACAACAAAGCATTCCACACTCGTTTAGACTGTACCTACAATATGCCTACATAAGACATTGCAGCAGTGTACAAGGGAAACATTCTTTAAAGATGCTAACGTGAGGAGTTTTAAAAGTTTGGTGAACATAGTTACGAGTCACTGCACAAGAAATGTCGCGGTCGCCAGCCGGCCCAGGCGAAAGAGTCGACGGAGACGGCGTCAAACAAACCCGAGAGGGGGTAGTTTCATCCGCATCAGCGGAGGCGCTCTCTCTGTTAAGGTCGTCAGTTACCAGCCGCAGCACCCTGCTGGCGATTTGATAGCTGCTCTCATTCTCAGCTGGCTGAGCGCCATGTGCCGGGTCATCCGGCTCCATGATTTCCCCTTTCATTAGCAGCTGCTGTTGTAGTTATTGTTGTTGCGTTCCTTTCAGCTGCTGCCGCAGCATAGCCGTACGGTTCTGGATGGTTCTCACGGCGGCAGCCAGGGTCACCAAATCCGTCTCCCCGTAGCCACACCAGACTCGGGAAAATGTACCGAGATGTACCGAGCCAATGTTGCAGCACTCGCGGCATTCATCGGTAGGACTCCGCCCAACCCAATGTCGGCACTGGCAGGAGCCCGACCAGTGGTCCAAGCGAAACTGATGAAAATCGACAGCTGATGAGCGGTCCTCCACTGACGCCGGACGGGTGGCGACGGCGCGGCCGGTCCTGGAGCTGGAACAGCAGAATGGACCGGATAGACGGCGGTCGACCCATATCGACCGGTACCATCCGTCCGGCCAGCTCCTCCAACACCGCTCTTAGGGCGAATAGCTCGCCGCGCGTGCTAGAGCAGAGGGCGCCTGCCGCGACACGCACCTCTCGGATGTCGCGGTTCGGGGGGGGGGTGGCCCCTCCTCCTCCATCTAGCACACCATCGGTGGCGGAGCTGTCTGACCAGATCAAGCTCGCCTCAGACGGGAGCTCCGCCAGACGACTTTCCGCCGCCTTGGCTCGCCAGCCGTCGCGCCCAAACTCGCTTCAGGCCGTGAGTCTATAGCCGGCGCGGTGGCGTGGCTTCGCCATGGTAGCCTTGGGCGGGTTGTCCTCAGAGAACGCATTCGCATTGGCGAGGAGGCGAGCAGCGCCACGAGTCCTGAAAAGACCAAACAATATCAATAGACAATCAAAACTGTAAAAATTGGCATTAACTGCGCAACTGATGTTTGCTTGTTTGTTTATTAGGGTTTACGGGCGCTGCGGTGGTCATTTTGCACCCATGAAGCTGTTCTGGTGAACCTGCGCAACTGAGCAGTGATCATGCTATAACTTATGTTTGGCGTAGTACCAGGGTTCCACCTAAAATTTCGGCGCACGTCAGGTGTAACGTCACATGCGACAAATTCAGCGCATGTCAGTTGGGCAAACTAAGGCTGATGGAATAATATAAAACGAGGGCACCAACAATTGATCCTAAATGACCATACTTGGACATTAATGCAGACCCTCTCTGTATCACCAATTGTCAGAAAACAAGCGGTTTCAAGGAGCGTTAGAGTCATGAAGCCAGGATAAAACACAGTGCTATTTTCTAAAAACAGTTTTTACATGATAGAGTTAGGCAACTCTCTCCCTCTCTCTCCGTTTACCATTCGCAAGGCCAAAAAGGCCAATTGGTTTTGAAAGACATTGGATTACAAGCTGAGAATTTTTTACTTTATCATAAAATGTTAAACCTGCGTGTAGATAAAGTCTGAACGGTGGTTTGTAGGCTGATAGGTTGGAGGTTGAAGGTTAGTAGGGAAGGTAAGGTCAGGATAATTTCTGCTTTTTATTTTCATTGGACTTCAGTCTTCATCAACACACGCATCAAAAATATCATCTATTTGAGCATCTTCAAGCCTCAATATACAAGTTGTACCACAAAAAATTAAAAATTGATGTCATGCCAACATATGGTCATGATTTTTACCACCAGAATTGAATTAAATGCCTATTGATGCTTTACCTAATATTTTGAAGCCTGAAATCTGATTAACCAAACATTTTTTTTCTTGTGTTGGCAGTCTAAAATTTGGCTGGCTTGAGCGCGATGCTATTGCTCTAGCAGAATCTCAAACGGATGTCTACCAAGTGCCACTCCCAAAAAAGTTTTTCAAGATTCTAAAACCACAAACTCTGTTGCTGCCTGATCGTGTGATGGTAAATCAAATGATAGCACTCCGTCTGAGGCCAGTTTTACAAACAGAAAATAGCCACCTGCCGGATTATTTTGCCTAAAGGCTAATTCACATATGGAGTGTAGGTAAATGGTGAAGCCCTCACTGCTTACATGCCAATCGCGTTTACCCTCTGTATGTTGTACCTACGTGGAATGGATATATGAGGAGAAAAATTCCAGGCAGCTATTTTTGTTGGTAAATCGGGTAAAGTAAAACTGGCCTCTGAACGAAAATTTGGACTGAGTGAGATGTCGGCTCTTTGGTGGTTTGGATAGGAGTTGATGATTTTAATTGAAAGATTAAAAGGAAAGGGCAGGGGCGCGGGAACTACTTTCCGACCATGGGGGGGGCACACCATAATAGAGATCAACCTAGGGTACCCCCAAATCTAGTTTTCTCACCGGTTTTAGGCCACTTATTTTTCACCCCTCGGCTTTTTCAACAAAAAAGAAAACATTTGCAAAAAAAGTGTGGTATTCCGTCTCAAAGATGTGGGGGCACCGCCCCCACGGCCCCAGAGTTGGGGGGGGCAAGCGGCCCCCACTGCCCCCCCGGCTCCCGCGCCTATGGGAAAGGGTTTCAAGACAATCGGCATGACAAACCAACACCTTACCTGCAGTTCAAGTTTGTCGATTTCTTCATCAAAATCTAGTCTTCGTCTAGTCCACAAATCAAGATAAAATTACTGGATAGGTACAACTTCTTCTTCTTCTTCTTCTTCTGCACCTCACCTGCCACCCCCTACACTTCTACCTTATTCTGATAAATATCTTTACATAATTTTCACAAGGAAGTGCCACTCAACGGGGTAGATCCAAGGCAGTATGGTAGATCTAAAAGAGTGCAGGGCTTAAGTTTTGACATGGATGAAGGAATACCTAATCCATGGTTTTGAGCTACAGAGTTCTCAGTGATTTTGAGACACCCAATATGTCTTTGGCACGCCGTATTTGTCTCTCACCGCTTGCGAATTCGGCGATATGATTGGTCGAAGGCCGAGGCTATGGGTCCAAGAAAAGGCCAAGATTCCTGCCAAGATTCTTACAGATAGCCAAGACCGATGACTGACGTGACTGACGGCATGTTACTGCCCTTGGCATATTGCCAATGCACTGCTCCGTCATATCGGCAGTGATGTCAACAGTCATATCGGAAGTAATATGGTAGCTAAACGCAAAAACCATTTAGTGTATGGCTACCATACTTTTCCGATAACGAGACATTCTAGATCAATCTCTCTACTGTTGGCGACATCTGCTGAGAAATCCCAAGACCGAACGCAAGCACATAAAAGTAATGCACTCTAAGGATGCGTTCGAAATCTGGGAAGTGACGGATTTCATTCCTCAATGCGTGTCCCAGCGTTCCCCATGCTGTTTGTTCCGCCATCTATTGCCATGTTTCGCATTCGCACTTCATGAATTCACCACCCCGCCAAGTAGGTTGGTATCAAGTTGGTATAGGTGTCGCATTGCTCTGGTCGATTAGGCTGAGCCAGCTGTCTGGAGAGTGGAGCCGATCCAAAAAACGCAGAAATTCAAAACACCGACTCCAAAGCAATGGCAATTGGCAGCATGCATATCATTAGAGCGTAATTCTGTCGTGATTGCGTCAGAAGCAAACATAATGGCAAGAGTTTCTTGTGTGCCGGTAGGCGCGTGTGGAGTCGCTGGACCGACCGGGGACGTACCCAAGGGGGGACGGACGGGGTGCGCCTCCCCCCTAGGGGTTTTCAGGGCCCATGCTGGCAGAAGGCCAACGTTGGCCAAAATCACGTCGGAGACGAACGAAATTCATGGGAATCCCCCAAAAAATCACGTCAGGACTCAGGACAATCAAGGCTCTCCGACTCGCCTGCCACCTAGGGCCCTTCAATTTACTGCGTGGGGCCTCCTGTGAATAACCGCTAGTGTCTGTGTCTGACCACTAGGACCCTGGACCCCTCTGACTCCTCGGGTAGAGGGCCCTCTGTAGGTAGGAGGCTCTCTCTACGGGATTCCTCCGCTCCCCCCTCGGCCAAATTCTAGGTTATACGTGCCTGCGCTAAGCCGGGGTCGGAGAGAGGAGTTGACGACCGAATGACAAGGAGTACTCGTCCTGAAAGTAAACATTTGGAATATAAACAATCCAAAGCTGTTCAGTATTTATATCATTCGAGAGCAGTGCCTTCAATTTGGATACACTTAGCATTCATTTCCCACACCCGTGTACACTCCACGAAGGCTTCTCCGCTGCGGACTCCCGCTTCCGCCGATGCGTCAGTTCTGTTATGGTCGGTAGTGGCGATTAACACGGCGATATCCTTGGAGCGACACAGGACGACCGAAACACGATGGCGGCGACCATGGAGCTGTTTATTTTTTATGTGCTTCCATATGACCGGGGGTGAGACCAAATGAAGGGAAAGGAAAACGTGCCCCATCACAACACCCCCCCCCCTCAAGACGCATGCGTCGGTACAAGATACGCATTGCGTCTAACACATAAACAAAAATGTACACCACACACGGTGTGGACGCACGAACTCAGTCGTACGTCTGGTCCGCCCAGCGCACGGTCAGTCGGGCCGGACGGCGACGGCGGCGCGTCCCACGGCGCACTGAGCTGGGGTCGTCGGCGCTGTTCCGCAGCACCGGTGGTGCCGGCTGTCCGCCCGCCGGCGCAGCGGCGGCGGTCTCCTCCGTGCCGTCGGGTGCCGAGCTCGGAGCGAGCTGCTGCCGGCGCCCGGGTGCAGGTGTGGCGGCGCCCTCTGAGATGAGAGATCTCTGGGGTCGCAGATAGCGCTGGTTCCGCCAGTAGACTCGGCCACTGGGCAGCCGGACCAGGTAGTCGCGCCGCTGCCCGACCGCCGTGATGACGCCGACGCGGTCCCACAGCCCCGACCGCGGGTCTTGGACGAGCACACGCTGACCCATGGTGAGCGCGCTGTGCTGGCGGGCTGTCGTGTCGTACCGCTCGGCTGTTTCCTGTTGCTGCGCGGCGGCCCTGGCGTCACAGTCGTCCGCCGCCCGCTGCCAGCAGTCGGCGAAGGCCCGGTGGTGCGCCGGCACTGCCGATCTCAGCGGGTGGCCGAACAGGACCTGAGCCGGAGAGCGGCCGTCGGCGCGCGGCGTGTTGCGCAGCTCCAGCAGCCCCTGCGCGTAGGCGTCCGTGTCGAGCTCGCCGCTGCTGGTCGCCTTCTGGATGAGCCGTTTGGCGGCCTTGACCGCCGACTCGGCGTGCCCATTAGACTGAGGGTAGTGCGGTGTAGAGATCTGGTGCTCCACTCCCCAGCGGCGCAGAAACTCTCGGGTGAGCCGGGCGGTGAACTGGTGTCCACCGTCTGTCCGGAGGGTGGTGGGCACGCCGGTGGCCGCGAATATCTGGCGCAGGCTGCAGACCAGGTCTCTGGCAGTCGCCTCGCCGGCCACGTGCGACACAAACGGCCACCCGGACAGCCGGTCCGCGTATACCAGGAACGTGCGGCCGGCCCAGGCGAAGTAGTCAGCGGAGACAGCCTCAAGCACTCGTGATGGCGTCTTTTCCGGCATCAGCGGCTCCTTCTGCTGACTGGGCAGGTACTGCTGGCAGGCCGGGCACGCTCCGACATGGTTCGCAATGTCACTGTCCAGGAACGGCCAGTAGACTACCTGCCGCGCGCGGCGTTTGGTGCGCTCGACGCCCTGGTGACTGGCGTGCAGGCGCTCGAGCGTGGCGCGCCGCAGACTGGGCGGTATCACGAGCCGCTGGCCGCACACCACCAGGCCGTCGTCCACGGCCAGCCGGTCCCGAACTCCCCAGTACGGTCGGAGGCGCGGGTCCAGCTGTGACCGGTGCTCTGGAAACCCGTTCAGGATCAGGTCAGTGACTGCGATGAGCTCCGGATCGGCGGCGGCGGCGGCGCGCACCTCTGTCAGCGCCGCGTCTTTGAACGGGCTGGGACCGTCGTCCGCCCCGTCGGTGGCCAGCCGTGAGAGCACGCTGGCGAGCTGATGGCTGGCGTCCCTCTCGGCTTCCTCGTCCTCAGGCGCCGGGTCATCCACCGGCGCGCGCGACAGCGCGTCCGGGATGGCGTGCAGCTTGCCTTGCCGCCAGATGGCGAGCAGGTTGAACGGCGCCAGCCGTTCTCGTAGCCGCTGGAGCCGCGGATTTTCGATCTCCGCAAGGCTCTTACTGTTGAGGATCGGGATGAGCGGCCGGTGATCGGTCAGGACTTCAAACCGCTGCATCCCGCCGAGATAGATGCTGCATTTCTTGCAGGCCCAGGCCAGGGCCAGCAGCTCCAACTCGATCACGGCGTACCGCGACTCGGCGTCCGATAGGAAGCGTGAGCCGCACTGGATCAGTCGCCACCGGCCTGCGGCGTCTTGCTGCAGCAGGCAGTAGCCCAGGCCGCCGGAGCGAGCGGCGTCAGTCTCAAGGACTGTGCGGCGGCGAGGGTCGAAGAAGTCGAGCACGGGAGGCGACGTGAGTGCCATCTTCACCGCGCTGAACGCCTGCTCGTGCGCTGGCGTCCACAGCCACGCGTTCCGCGGCCGCAGCAGCTGTCTCAGCGGCTAGGCGGCGGCGGCGACCTCTGGGGAGAAGGCGCCGAGCTGGGTCACCAGGCCGAGGAACGACCGTAGGTCGGTGATGTTGCCCGGCCTGGGGAAGGCCTGGATGGCACGGACTTTCTTGCCGTCGGCGGTATAGCCAGCCGAATTGATGCGAAAGCCGCAGAATTCGACCTCGTCTTCCGCGAACTGACATTTGTCCGGGTTGAGTGTGATACCGTGCTGGTCACACCTTAGCAGAATCTGCCGCACGTGCTGCAGGTGGGCGGCGTAGTCAGCGTCATAGGCCAGGACGACGTCCACGACCTTACACGTGCGCGGGATGTCGCCGAGCGCGGCGTCACCGCGCTGGTTGTACACGTCGCCAGAGCTGACGATTCCCATTGGAGCCCTCAGGTACCGGTAGCGGCCCCACGGCGTGATAAAACACGTCAGGTCTCGTCTCTGTCTTCTGGCCGGATGGGGACCTGGTGGTACCCCGCCTTGCTGTCCAGCTTGGTGAAGTACGCAGCGCCGGGTGAGACGAAGGCGAGTGCGTCTTGAGGCGAGCGGACCGGGTACGTCGGTCGCTTCACGAACCGGTTCAGTTTCGTGAAGTCCACGGTCAGCCGACAGCCGGACACTGTGCCGTCTGACGACCCCTTGGCCACAGGAACGATCGAATGACACCAGTCTGTGGGGTGCTCCACCGGCTCGATGATGTCCTTTTCCATCAGCTCGTCGAGTTGCAGTCGCACGTCCTCTCGCCAACAGAACGGGATATTCCGGGCGGTGGTCACAGCGTGAGGGACGGCGTCGTCCGTCAGCTCGATCTTCATCGGCTCCCCCGTCATCTTCCGCAGGGTCGACTCCGTATCGAAGACCCTCGGGAACTCGGCTTTCAATTTGTCGAAATCTGCCCGCCGCTGCCGTGCGGAGGGGGTGCCACCGGCGGCCGGGCGGCGGCGCGCGCGTAGGGCCGGGCGGCGGCGCCCGCCCGGTCGGGTCGGCGCCGGCCGAGCTGGCGGCCGGCAGGTCGGCGGCAGAGACGCGGCTTATGTCCCGGGTCTCCTCAGGTGCCGCCGTCGTGCCGCTGCAGCGCCGTAGTGCGGGCTGTCTGCCGGCGGCGGGGGCCTCAGGCGGCTCGCCGGGCGGCGGCGGGTCCGGTGCCCCACCGTCCGTCCCAGTCTCGGCTGCCGAGCCGCGCTGGCAAATCTGCCGGGGAAAGCTCGCCGGTAGAATTCCCAGGCCGATACAATCGTGCCACGACAGCAGTGGTGAGTGCAGTGCTCGCAGAACGGACACCTGCACGGC